AATGCATCTCTTAATCAAAATGCATCACTAATTGCAACACATCTCTTAATCAAAATGCATCACTAATTGAAATGCATCTCTAACCAAAATGCATCACTAATTGAAACACATCTCTAATCAAAATGCATCACTAATTGAAACACATGTTCGCTATTTTGTGATTGTACAGCATTCGCGAAGTCAAAATATTTCACGAAAGTCACTGACGTTACATTGTCGTAGTACACCAGAGAAATTGTCACTGCTATAAAATTTCACTAGTGAAACTAAAGCTATTTACAGTAGACTGATAAGAATCATCACAAACCTTTTTCGAATTCTTTAAACATCGGAGCGGTATTCGAAGTCAGCAACATGTCCATTTGCTGCCGCATTGTTAAAGCAGAGGCTATTAAAATAAAAATTGTAAATTTTATGCTAATCACAATTACTTTAGTAATACAACAGTTGTCATGCACAAGAGAGATTCTGTATAATTTTGGAATAATTGTTTGATTGCAAGTTGAAGAATTGTCCCCCCCCTAACAGTCAATAAGATAAACTTACCTGGATAGATCATAAAGCCTAATGTAATATTGTGCAGTCCCAGCAATTCATAGTCACTACAACGTGGTTCATAATCATCGATTAAACGAACATCTTGACGAATACAGTTGATAATCTCGTTAAAGCTTCCTCGATTAGTGTACTTTGAAAAAAACACAAAAACATAGCACCATTATGGTAAACTTTCCCAGAAAATTTTTATTCATTTGATACTGCGTTTCACAATTGTTCATTATTACCTAGTATTGATTATATTAACATGCAAAAAATAACATCGTTGAATTGTTATGAAGTGCAAATAAATTTCAACTAATTTCATCATAAGCGAATGATTCCGATCGCATTTTCAACGCTCGATGCTGTAGAAATGAATATCCATCATGTTCTGACCTGGGACGGTGTTCTTTGACCTGACAGGTTAAATTGCTAATTAACCAATGAAATTGATGGATGATGCCAACGTGTTCAAATTACAATAGCTCATTTAAATATGTTAATGTTATTGAACGCAGCACGGAAGAGATTTGCCGATGCTGTTGTACAATCTTTTGGCTTGGATTTTGATGGGAAAGCGGCATGATTTGTTTTTAAATAAAAAAATTAGGTGTTTTCAAAAGATAAACAAAGAATTTGAAAAATAATTTAACATTCTTTACAGTGTTATCAGCTCATTGTCAAAACGAAGTTTACCCATTCGCGCTAGTCACAATAAACATCGCACTCTTGAATAGGCGTCAATGAATATGGTGAAACTTTTAGCCATCAGAAAAGATTAAAGTAACACCTTAAAAAACTGCTGAAAAATCGCTCTGGGTAATTTCTTGGTCCCATTTTATTTTTTTTAAAACCCAAACTGCTGGCCCAAGGCAAATTTACAGCAGAAACCGTATTGTATTTGATGCCCACTCTGTCGTATTCGAGAATGTTGGTGGTTATTGATTTTTGTTAACTGATACACACTCTGTAAGCCAATGTCTCCTTTTCCATACGCTGATTTTCGATTCAGGTGTTTTACTGTACCTGTTTTTCCAAACTGTAAGTGATGTATTTGGGAACTTTGAGATAGTTGTCCCAGGCCACAATGTATTCTTCGTTGGTGAGTAGCGAATAATTTCCAGGTTGTTCAGTCGTTAAATTAAATATAGTTGGTAATCCAAACGGTGCATCATCTCGATTATCTGTAATTTCTGCATCAAATAAAAAAAAAAAAAGTCATGTCATAACATAGTCCATGCCGCTGTCCAATAGTGAACAAAACTAAAAAGTTTCAGCCATTTTAAAACATAGATTGAAATGAATTATACCGGTAATTCATATGTCAATAATGTATATATAATGTAGATAATTGATTGCAATCAGTCGAGGCGTGGCATGGCAGAGATATGGCCCTGGAACAGCATTTATTAACACAAAATGTCCATCAGTCAGCCGTTTTTAATCCAATTTGAAAAACTAAGTATTGGCAGTAATTTTGATGCAGTTTTGACAATACATTGGATGTCGATGTCATCTTGAAAATGGTTGCATATAAATTATATAAACCACATTAAAAGAAATGTTATTTACTTGAATCCTCCACGTCCAATCTGTCGTTAAAATAGTCGATGTCATATTGGCTGCCGGTGAAGTACTGATCAATCTGAAAAAAAAAATATATAAATTTTTACAAAAAAAAAATCCAGGAGATTTGGCAAAATTTTTGTAGCAGTGAGCATTTTATTAGGAACATTGTGGTACACTGTACGCGTTTGATATGGGTCTCATAGATACACTTTTTTACACACGAAATTTGTGTATCATGATGACCATGGCTCTCATAAATGCCATCAAGTTGTCAAAATCAATGTAATTGAAATAAAACATAACAGTCATTGTCAATAGTCGTCCTGCCACGCATGCACAAGATATGGGTCTCATATGAACAAAGATGGCAACTTACTGTTCAATGATCAACGAGTACAAATTGAGACGTTTCCAAGCTTTAACTTAGTAATTTCTTTGGGGATTGAAAGGTTCGAAGGAGTCATCGACGACAAATAGTGCACATCGCACCCAGATCAAAACTTTTGTGATTTCCATTAGAATAGCGCATTGGATTGTGGGAAAATCAATGTTTATCAACACAAATGTCACACATGCGTGGTGCGATGACTAAATTAAATGTACAAATTTTGTGTGGTTTACTTCCTTGTATATGGGATGTGTCATAAACATTGTGCTTACTTTTGGGCACTTCATAAAAGCCAAATGACTTACATTGTCACAATTACAATCAGTTCCATCGTCTTGAATCCGTAATTCATACATATCATCGTTTGGATACAAAGCATTGATTGGACGTGACACTTGGGGAAGTGTTCTCATCAAATTCTTTGGCTCACGTAAACTATCACGTATAGCCCCTTCAGTTCCATTATTTGGATCACCTTCAATGTCAAGAAGCTCTGCCATAACATTGTACAGTTCTATGCTGCGGAAATTTGTCTCCAAAGTGAAGTTGTGTCGGAAGGCATAACCAGTTCCAATAAAAAGCATCTACAAATTAATCAAACAATGATTCAGGTATTCCCAATGATTCATGGATTCACTAAGATTTGTGTATTCACAATGATTCAGGTATTCCCAATGATTCATGGATTCACTAAGATTAATGTATTCACAATGATTCAGGTATTCCCAATGATTCATGGATTCACTAAGATTTGTGTATTCACAATGATTCAGGTATTCCCAATGATTCATGGATTCACTAAGATTTGTGTATTCACAATGATTCAGGTATTCCCAATGATTCATGGATTCACTAAGATTAATGTATTCACAATGATTCAGTATTCCCAATGATTCATGGATTCACTAAGATTAATGTATTCACAATGATTCAGGTATTCCCAATGATTCATGGATTCACTAAGATTAATGTATTCACAATGATTCAGGTATTCCCAATGATTCATGGATTCACTACGATTAATGTATTCACAACGATTCAGGTATTCCCAATGATTCATGGATTCACTAAGATTAATGTATTCACAATGATTCAGGTATTCCCAATGATTCATGGATTCACTAAGATTAATGTATTCACAATGATTCATGGATTCACTAAGATTAATGTATTCACAATGATTCAGGTATTCCTAATGATTCATGGATTCACTAAGATTAATGTATTCACAATGATTCAGGTATTCCCAATGACTCATGGATTCACTAAGATTAATGTATTCACAATGATTCAGGTATTCCCAATGATTCATGGATTCACTATGATTAATGTATTCACAATGATTCAGGTATTCCCGATGATTCATGGATTCACTAAGATTTGTGGATTCATAAAGATTCACCATCATTCTAGTCTAGAACACCACTGAGTAACTAAGAACTATGGAGAATCCTTAGTATATCATTGTGATTCACATTAAAAAAGTACAGATTGACCCGATGTGCAGCGAAGAATATGTGATGCGAAGCAGAGAGTATATGATGCAGGTGCATACTGTCTGAGTGCATACTTTTAAATGTGGCATCCTTGTAATAACCTTATTATTATACACCTTCCTGACCCAAATACCTAGTATGTGAAACAAATGACTGAGGCAGATGGTGAAAATTAGTGGAATTTTTTTTGTCCTTGGAAACATCGCATAACCAGTTCTATTTAGTATCTGCATTCAGATACCCTGTGCAATATTGCATGCTGTAATGTATAGATGTATGTATAGATGTATAAAAACAGTATGAAATGTATGAAATAATAATTTCATGAAAAGTAAAAAATAAAATAATAGTATGAAAAGTAGAAAATAAGCATATGAAATGTAAGAAAAATAATAATAATAATAATATGTAGTATTAATGTACATAAAAAGAGTGCATAATTTTAAGTCCCTCTAGACACCTTACACATATTACAAATCAAAGCTGCTTTTCTTGAAAAATTTGGACTTATTATAAGAAATTATGTCCATTTGAAAGAAATTTTAGAAAAATACTGTGGAATACTTTATTTTCGCTGGAATTAATTTTCGCTGGGTGTTTTGTATGGAATTTATTTTCACTGGTTTTTGATGAGTTTAATGTGAAATATAGGAAAAAAAGTATATTCGCTGGATTTTATTTTCACGGAATCATCCCTTCAGCGAAAATAGCGAAAATAAATTCCAAGCGAAAATAAAGTACTGTGGAATACTTTATTTTCGCTGGAATAAATTTTCACTGAAAAGGCTTTTTGGGCGTTTTGCTTGGAATTTATTTTCACTGATTTTTGATGAGTTTAATGTGAAATATAGGAAAAAAAGTATATTCGCTGGATTTTATTTTCACGGAATCATCCCTTGCGAAAATAGCGCAAATAAATTCTAAGCGAAAATAAAGTATTCTACAGTATTCTACAGTACATAACAGGGTGCAAAACAGTATGCCAAAATGTTGGTGGAGATAAAAACACCTCTCAATTGGTTAATAGTGGGTAGCCATTTTGAAATACCGGTATTACTCCATCTTTGAAATTTAACTGTGTTAGTCTGCAATGAATTTGCATATTGATACACAGCACAAATAAAATAAAAATACTAACTTATAATTTATATTACTGAAGTGGAGAACTTACACGACTTGTTAAATTATTGAAGAAATACTCAGGTGCCACTCCGGTACAAAGCCATTCCTGTCGTCGCGTCGCAGAGTTATCCTCACTGTGGAATAAATAATGCTAACTGAATAATTACGAAGGAAGTATTCATCATTTTTTTAAACAAAATTTTTACCATTACCGGGTACATTTTTTTTTTTACGTTTTGTTCTTACTGGTGATCAAACCTTATCAAAGGTGATTATGTTTTTACACTCAAGTGCGATCCTGTCGGATTTTTTTTTTAAAAAGATTGTCATGCACTATCATATTGACAATTTCTATTATGCGAGTATCTGTGTGCGTGCACCAAGTCCACAACCGTCATATAGCAATTTTTCCAGTTTATGTAACCAACTTTTGAAAGCATAAAGTATTAAATAAGTTCACAATCGACTCGTCTTTGTACTGTGGCATAGACTTGTTTTTGTTTGATGAGCAGCAAATAAAATGTCATACTGTTTACGTCGATGGATTCATAACATGGCCTGGCCATTTTGAAAATTGTTTATGAAAACCATAATGTCGATATTTTTTCATAAAATTTGTTCATCCAAAAATGGGATCATTATTTTCTTCATATGTGTATATATGATGTTATTTGTCTGTGAATATTCAAACCTAGACTTGTGCAACGAACATTCAAAATAAAATGCTAACCTTAACTAGCAGCCTATTGGCTGAGATAACTCCGCTGTTAGCAATGCACATTTCAATTAAAGAACAGAAGACATCATTAGAAAATGAACAATATGTATAGTATCAATGCAATGGGACTTGCTGTTTTCAACAAGAATTCAAAAATATAATTTTTAACCATAAATGATTGTGGTTTTTAACAAGAAGAAAATGTCACTTTTTACCAAAAATGACAAAAATATTTACCAAAATTAGAGAATTAAAGATATCATTACAAAATGAACAAATCTGAGAGAGGTCCACATGTAGTACCTATATATGTAATATCAAAGCAATTGGACTTGCGGCTTTTAACAAGAAGTTG